GGCACGTTTGATGCAAAACAAGATTATGGAGTTGGGTTGGGAAGTTCTCCCCCACCCACCATGTTCGCAAGATAGGGCACCATCAAATTACCATCTTTTTCATTCGCTGCAACACCATCTTAATAAGAAAATGTATGCAAATGTGGAAGGTGTTAAAGAGGATATTGACATATTTTTTGCTTCGAAGTCAAGTGATTTCTTTAATCAGAGCATTAACAACCTGATTGTAAGATGGAAAAGCATCATCAATAAGAATGGAAACTGTTTCATTTGATATATAAGTTGTTTGGGTTTTTTCATCTAAAAAAAAGCAACATTAGTTTCTTGACAACCTAATATATGAATGATAAGGGCTGGCTTTAAGATTTTTTTAAATTTATGTTCTTAATAGTTTTGGTTTAGTTTAGAAGATAGACCAATGAGTCCCTTGTTGTCCCTAAAACATGATGTTATGTTATTTTAAAGTGTTAGAGAAAATTCCCATTTTGAACTTCAAATGCACAAAATTGTACCTTTGTCAAAAATGACTTTGTATATAAGGTTATTGTGCATTCAAGGGTATATACGTTCATATGAACAGGAACACATAACTTGATAAGCTCATTTATCATATTTATAATTAACACATTCCTAGTCACAAAATCTGGTGTTTTTATTTTCAAGAGCAATTTTTTTAATATCAATTGGAGACTCCTTACAACAGAAGCAATTCAAAATAATGCCACACAATGTTTCAGTGTTTGTAATATTTGTTTTTTCATGTGTTGCAGAAGCTTTATGTTGTTCATGCTATAGCTGTGGTATGGGAATGAGGGGAGCAATTGTCCCCCCAACCTAGATTTGTGTAGAGGAAGAAATTAAGAGTGACAATAGTCATCCTCGAGTAGAGGAATTCTTATTGGGAGGAAAACAACAAAAATTTCCATTTATAGATTCATCAACATTTTTAAGAAAATGTATATATTGTATAGGGTCACTAGTTACTCCGTAACAATACTCTTAATGTGTAATTAAGTAATATCAAAAAAATTTCAGACTTCTTGAAAGTCCTGCCCTCATCAAAAGGAAGATCCTATAATGTAATTATCATTAATCTGTAATATAGGTTTTTGGGCTCATGAAATAGGAAGAATGGTTGGTGTGGAATTTCCATTTGTTCCAGTTCATCATCAGTATTTAATTACATCAACTATACCTGAAGTGAAGGAACTAAAGGTCTGTTCTCTTTGGTACTCTTACACAATGTGTGCATTTGTACATTGTTTATATTATTGAGTTTCGTATGAATAAAATTTGATAGTTACAGAATTGTATTTTATGAGCAGCTTTCCAAAGTGAGACTAAGGTTATATGACAGGAACTAAATAATGATGTGAGATACACGTTTATGTATAGTATTAAAAAATTGGTATGGAGAAATCAAGTGTATACTAATATTTACCAAAATGTTTGAAAGCATGCATGTTACATACATTAACAGTTAATTTGTCTTGAATGAAAGTTATTGCTGTATCTTAGTATGTTTTTCTATTGTACTTTGAATGTATTAACCTGATGGATAATAATGTAAATCAAATCATGTAACTTATAATTTTCTCTGTAAATGTTGTTTGCTTGTTTTTGTACTGTAGCATGATGTGAATTTATAGGTTCATACTAACTGACATACAAAGCTTATCAGTGTTGTACTTGCAAGGGAGCACCAAGTCATCACTTTATGTGCAGGGAAAATGCCATGTCACTCCCATTCAAATGTGGATTGACGGCATTGTAATTTTGTCTCTAATATATATAATGATGTTTTTATCATTAGTTTAAAGCTCTCTGACCTTGCATTTAATGCTGCTTTACAATAATATACCTCAAGAAATGATTTTCTGAATTTTTACTTAATTAGTAAACCCTGTAGCCATATTAAGTAACAAGTTTGATAATTAGCTGTTCAGTCAGGAGGGGGGGGGGGTAAGAAAGATCATGGCAAATCCTTACTTTTGAATTTAGCATTACATCACATAGAGTAATACAAATAGCAATTAGATGTAGGAGCAAAATAATAGTCAATAAGAACTATATTAGCATTCTCTGAATTTCTAGTGTTTTTTTCCCAAGTAACATTTCTGGAGTGAAAAAGAAAACCTGAAAGACAAAACAGTCTTATGCCCATTCATTTTAAGGTGACATAAAGATGTTATAATTAAAAAATTATATTCTTTTACTGTTATATTCCAAAATTAATGTACCTTTAAAAGAATATTTTACTAAAGTTTAGCTTTGATATCATGAAATTGTATGGTAGCATATTAATGTGTACTGAGACATTAATGTGACTGTAGACAGTGTTCCATTTTTGTTTGCCAAACAGAAAGAACCACCTGTGTTGCGTCACTTGGAAGGCTCATTCTATTTAAGACAGGAAAGAGATGGGCTTTTGATTGGCCCTTATGAACATCAAATGAAGATGAGACTTTGTGATGACTGGGTGACCAATGGAGTGCCACATGGTATTTTGATAAAAAGAAAATTCAATATTTAACACATTCAGAGGATAATAATAGGCATATAGAGTTAGTATAAATTGCAAACATCTTTTCAGGGTAAAGTATTACTTTCAATTTATCAGAAAAGAAAAAAAGGTACATATATATTTATTACATGTCTTTCATTTTATGGAACCCTTGATACAATATTATTTTGTCCAAAGGCATATTTATTTGTTCAAATTCCTTTTTTATATGTGTGCAAAAGACCACATTATTTCTAACATTTGTAGAAAGATGTGTGTCATTTAAAAAAAACAAAAAACACACCATTAATTGACATCCTTTTTAAATTTTTTGTTATTTTTTAACTCTAGAATACTGGTGGAGTCACCCCATTGGCTTTTTAAACACATTTTTCTAAGCTGTTTATGCACCAAATTGTTTGTGGGTCCCTAATAATGTACAAGTCACCCAAAAAATTTAAATACCATTAAAATTACAATTATTCCCATTAATTACTGCCGGGAACCATCTATGTACTTTACCTAAAAATTGTGTAATTTTACCTAAGTTGGTTGGTTGGTTCATTAAAGTAGGTGTGGTTATAACAGGCAGAAACATAAAATTACTCACTGTGATGTAATATGTGAGCCCCATTAATATAAGAAGTCAGTAATTTAAAAGTTAATGGACATATTTCTTTTCAATTCAAAATTTAAAAGCAATTTATTATTAAATCATTACAAAATTTAAAGTGTTTATAGTGAAGGTTTTCATCTATTTTAAGTTAATTTTGTTCCTTTCAGAAAACTAAAGTAGGGTATTGAATGAGTGTCATTTCCAACCAGTTAATGGAAAATTATTTAAGGACGACTTACCTTGTCTGAAAAATATCTTACAAATCACTGGTCGTTTCTTTACAAAAAATAAAACTTAAGTTTTTAATATATTATGTAATACATCATTTATGACCAAATGTTAACGCCACAATTTATGACTGCTAGAGAAAGTTATAAGATGTATGCAGCTTTGTGCCCATAACCATATAACATGGGAAGTTTTCTAAGGAGAGTTATGGTTAGTGAGATAATCTGAAATCATCCATTGGTATATTTTAGTAATAATAAGTGTCAAATGTAGTATCATAAAGTGAGGTAAAATATTTGGTAACTTTTTATTTATCCTATTCTATTCTTAGAAATTAAAAGCTGAAAATATATAATAGAGCATACCTATTTGTTTCTGAAAGTACATTTTGCTGCTAAAATAATTATTTTATTTGTTGGTTTAAGTATGGAACTATTCTATATAGCTCATATTTTTGTGTAGGATTTGGAAGAGAATTGTTTGAACCAGATCTTGATCGCTTATCAGATCATTTAGAAGTTGCTATGGACCTTGTTCCTGTATTACGTACAGCTAATATCCAGACTACAGTGGCAGGCCCAATAATGTATACTCCAGACCTGCTGCCTGTTATTGGCCCTTACCAAGGACTACCCAACTTCTGGATGGCTGCTGGTTTTGGGTAACTTTTAAAAAGTTATTTATTATTGTTCTTTATATATAAAATACATAAAACTATGGTAATTTATGTACTACTTAAAATAATGCAAGGCATATGTGAATTTTTCCCCTGCAATTTGTGTTTTGATGTGTATCATTATTGATAAAGTTCAATAATCTTCATTATATCCATTAAACAATTAATTTCTGTTATATATAATTCCGATAAGGTACTCTCCCTCCACTCACAAGATTAGCTTTTCTCGTTTTGTGCTGCTCTCTATATATGAACTTTTTTCAGAAATGCATGCCACAAGCTTTCATCCTCCCTCAGTTGGAATCCAACACGTCTCTCATGCAAATCATCATGTGTCACCTCTCTACCAATAGGAGAGCACTACTATCATGTGATGCATGTGACTCCCTCTACACGCTACTACCAAACTATTACTTCTCATTTGGCAGCTGTCGATTTCAGACATTCATTTTTACATTATTCAGTTACCTTGAAGTGTTTTTTTTATTTTTCTTAACTTTATTTCCACCACTTTACAGTTGTAGAGTTAATATTTTAATAAAGCATTATTTCCTCATTTCCCGCTTATGAATTATGAAGTTACAGTCACCACTTCAGGTACTTTGCCAGCGTCTGATGCCGTATTTTCAGCCACGTGTGCGGGCAACCCGTTAGGGGATATATCGTCGCTCATTCACTGAGAGTTTGAGCAGTATTTAAGCCAACCTCTCTTGCCTACTTCAGTCCCACCTCCTCCTGAGCCTTTCGGACTGCACCAGACTGTAGATGATTTTGATCCTTTGTTTCCCCACCCGGAGTTTGCCGTGCCTTCCCGTTCACTACCTGATGATTCAGCTCATCCGGCATTGGTCTTTTCAGACTATCTCTCAAGTATGTGATGTTTTGTTTGTTACACCTGTTTCCTATGGCCCTAGACCTTCTCTCTTACATGAAACTTCCCGACCCTACTTAGTCTTTCCCCCGTCCCCTGATATTAGGGTTCATGCTGACTGTTTTATTACCTCTCAATTGGGGGAGGGTGTTAGTATGCCTTGTTCCACATGAACTTCGGATCAGTCAGCTCTTGCTTATCATCAAGCAGACTTGCCTTTTCTCGACCAACAGTTGTTGGGGTCAGTTCTATCTGTTTGGGGGGCAAAACTAGATTACCCTGTCCAACTTACCCAAGCCAAATTTTCTCGCCTTCGTCTCACCCTCACGATCCTGTTAAGGTACCTTCTTTCATTCACCTTCTGTCAGAGAATTTTCTGCTGAAATCTTCTTCATCCGTACTTCTATGTTGGCTTATCTGTCGTCTTCGGCTTTTCACAAGATCACTAGAGTGTAAATTCCTCATGATAATTGTATTATAATATGTCTGTTCCAGACCAAACCACCATGCTCATCCCAACCCTGCCATGCCTAGATTGAATAAATCAGTGTGGTCTGCTTTTCAAAATAAGGTTTCGTGATCACCCATTGCACTGTCTCGGGTGTTGCAGTCCCTCCAGACTTTTCACTGCACTTTTACCCCCCTTTCTTCCTACCCTCATGCTGATGTCGGTATCCAATGAGGGAGGTTTTGGGGATCAAGTGAACCAATCACATAAGTCCTCACACAGGTTTTGGGTTGTCCATCTTCCATTCTTGTCTCGTCTTCTGTATTGTGGGTCACAGAAGGTTTATGTGGCCTGTTCCTGCTTCTGTCCTGGGTTTTTCCTCATTGGGTGACAAGGTTGTTACCAATCAGGGGTCATTTTGGGCTGGTTTCATGGTTGCATGGGTTGAGTGTATGCGATGGACTTGTTGTTTCTGCTGTCCGAGCCGATTTTCTCAGGAAGATGATTAATGTCTGCATTTTATACATATATTAAGATTAAAGCTATCATTTTTATAGATTTCTGTGGTTTGTTATTTTTTAAAGTAACTATTGTTTTTGTTTACTATACCGAATAAATCATCATGTTTTTCGCATCTTAATCACTGCTGAATTTAATTTGTCTTATGTAATATTAGTAGCTGTACATTCACCATTTTCTCTATTCTTTTGTAACATTCATTTTTGCTTGTAAAATTTTATATTTTATGAAATATCATTATTTTTGTGATTACCCCAGTATTTGTCCTCAATTCTGAAAAAAACATTGAAAGAGAAAGAAGAAATAGCTAAATTACTAAAATTTATTTCATTTCTTCAAGTAAAAAATACTGTACAATCAGTCCAACCATAATCATTTGCATCTGTGAAGTCAACAAGTTTTATCCCCAGAGAAAGATAATGGTGAGAAAGTTACTGCTTCATCATCTACTGATGGTGCAGATCATTATCACCACAAGGTAATATCGGAAGCACCACAGTTGACAACTTTAACAAGCACTTCTACTGAAAGAAATCCATCAACTGATCCTGCACTGTGGCATCCTATTAGTAAAGAGCTATGTTCTTTTTAGGTTACTAATAGTTTTTCATTCTGTCAGAATCATGATCATAATTTCAAGAATTCTGAATACACATATACAGCCCAGAAAAGGTATTTATTGCATTCTGCTTTTGAAGGCAAAGTGCATAATGGCGAATTGTTCACCATAAATGGTTATTATATTCACTGTTAACTGGTTCAGTTTACTGCTTTGTGTGCAGGTTATATTTTAGTACAAATTTGACTTTTTCTACGACAGGTTTTTGATGATTGAAAGCATGCAGGCAGTCAAATTTCTGAACATGAAAATGGCCCTGAACATCGAAATTGTATGCTCATTTACTGCAGTTGTCAAAAGAAGACTTGGCCTAATGGACTCAGCATTTTTGAAACAGTTCAACAAAGAGCAACTTTACTCGCAAAATGTTCTAAAAAGAGTTGTTGCTCTTGTGAAATTCTTGACAACAAGAGGTTTGGCATTCTGTGGAGGTAATGAAACCATAGGTTCACAGCACAATGACAATTATTTAGGAGTATTAGAGCTGCCTAGTGAATTTGTTCCATTTCTCAAAGGGCACATTGAAAAGCATAGAAATGCTGGTAAGGGAAATCCTGCATACTTTTCTGCCAATATTTTGAAGAATTTATCTGCCTCATGGGTGGTAAAGTGTTATCTGAAATAATTTTGGAAGTAAAAAAAGTGAGGTACTATTCACAGAATGTTGACTCAACTCCAGATATATGCTGTGTCGATCAATTAACCTTTACAGTTCTATATGTTAAAGATCAAGTTCCAGTTGAGTGATTTCTGCAAATTATCTCAATTCATGGTCATGGAGTAGAATATTTAGCTGATGTATTGAGCTACTTGCAAGAGAAAGACATTTCATTATCTGACTGTCATGATCAGTATTTTCATAATATGGCTGGACAGTGTTCTGGTTTTCATGCAAGAATTAAAAAATTAATAAACTGTTGTTCCCTGTACTATACATTCTTTAAACCTTGTTGAAGACAAGGCTGCAGGAGTATGCAATTTGCAAGTTGTGTTATATTTTGATTTAGTGCAGTGATTAATACACCTTTTTTGCTGCATCAACTCAACATTGGCAAATGTTGGTTTCTTCTATTGGCCATGATCATAAAATTGTAAAACAATTATCTAGAACTCGAGGAGTCAGATATGCTTCATGAACTCTATTTTGACCATGTTATTTGTGACTTTGCAAATAAAAAACAAAAAAGAGACGCATAGAATTGTAGATAAATAAAATATTTGTGTTTATACTTTGTAGTTGCTAATATATGCAGAAATTCAATAAAAACCTACTGTATTGTCTGTATTTTTTTAAGTGTGACCGACTTTAGTGGATGGGGCCCCAATTCACATTTAGCCAAGGGCCCCGAATATCCTTATGATGGCACTGAACACGTTTTCCATCTGATTCTGTATTCAATTTGTTTGATGAAACATTTTTGAATAAGCATAAATTTAGGTCAAATATATTTAAGAAAAGTGTTTAAAAATCAATAAAAATTTCATTAAAACAGCATAAACCATTTTTTCACAAGGATATTATAAACATTATTTAGGATTTCCTGATTTATCGCATACATAATATAGCTTTATTTTTCGTAGATATGGTATAATACATGCTGGTGGAGTTGGTCGTTATATAGCAGACTGGATGCTGGATGGAGAACCTCCATATGACTTGATCGAAACAGATTCTAATCGTTTTGGGAAGTGGGCTACACGGTATAAAAATACTTTTTCACAAAGCTGTTTTGTAGGTCATTTCAATCTTGCATACAAAAATAATTACTAAATAAGTATACAATTTCTGTTGCGTTGTTTATGAACACACTACATGTATATAAGTTATTTTTCATCCACAATGTTTTAAGTAATAAAACTTGACGGCTGACTGTTAACATATAACCACAGTTCAAAATATATAATGAAGTAGGTAGCACACTGGTTAAAACTTAATCAAGTTTGAAACTGAGTGCTGGTAGTGTATTGTGTGCTTCTCAATAAATAATAACAATTCTCATTTAAAAGAGTGTGGTGAGTCATACGGATTTGTTTACAGTTTGTAATAAACCTAAAGACACATACAGAGCTACTACTAAAAAGAGTAAAATCATCAGAACTGTTTTTAAAACTTAATATCATTTTCATTCTTTACTTTTATTTTTTTTTTGCCAGTATGATCACATATAAGGCACAATTCAGTCTAATTAGGCTTAATTAAGTTAATATTGTAGCTTTTATTGTTTTTCTCTTACATAATTGCCGTATTTTTAATTGTTGTCATAATTTGAAATGGCTAGTCATGTGACTGTAGCAGTTACAGATATCTAATTATTGAACTAATTACAAGCTTTTGTTCTGCAGTAATTATGTCTTTGCCAAAGCCCGAGAATCTTATGGAATGAACAATGCTATTTCATACCCCAAGGAGGAACGATGGGCTGGCCGACCCACAGCAAGAACAACAACAATGTATGAAAAGCAGTTAGAGCGAGGAGCTGAAATGGGTTTTCATGCAGGTCAGAGAGTCATATTAGTTATTTAAAAACTTCCTTTTAATCGTATGTATATATATATATATATATATATATATATATATATATACACACATATATATTATTA